GTTGAAAGGTCCAACAAACTTAGCTTCCTAACTCACCTTTTAAAGGCAGAAGTCCCGGGGAGTGCCTACCGAAGCTAGACGTTCCAGGAAGCTCACCCACCTAAGTTACAAATCCCGGAGAACTCACGAACCCATGCTGGAACCTGAAGTCCTTAGGCATCCAAGCTGGAAGTCTCTCTTACCCGCCCTCAGCTTGACAACTCGCTAACCATCCCACCGCCTCCCTTCCTAGTCCTCGAGGGGTCATAGCTGGAAACAAATGGACTCATACAGGGTCAAGAATGACCAGTCAGACCCCAGTGTTTGTGTGTGTGTATGTGTAGATCCCTCTCCATAATGGCCGGAGTTCAGATCCCAGCACTCTTGAGTGGAACACCCAAGTCTCAAGAATATTATCAAGTGCTCGATCACATAACTGATAAGACCACTGTACCGTCGTAAAGAAACACTCCAATCTCACACTCCTCACCAGAGATTAAAAAAAAAAACATTCTTCACAATACAAGTAAGACACTTGCTGTACATCAAGTGTGTACAAGTGTGACGTGAAGCCAGTGGTAATTAACTAGAGAAAAAGGAAAGATCCCATAGAGTGTATTTAGGGACTGAGGAAGGAGGAAAGGGAAGGTCTGAGAGGCGAGTTACCTCCTGACAAGTTAAGTGAAGCATCTTACAGAGAAGTGTCACTAAGTCTCAGCCACTTGTACTTAAGCTCGGAGCACCTCCTTGGTATTAACACTTCCCTGGCGTATCTCAGGGAATTTCTCACACCCACATGATGCACTACCATAATGTTACCCCTAACACTGGCACAACACCACCATTACAGCCATTACACTATGGTAACACTGGCACAACACCACCATTACAGCCATTACACTATGGTAACACTGGCACAACACCACCATTACAGCCATTACACTATGGTAACACTGGCACAACAACACCCATGACACTGTTATTATACTATGATAATACCTGTCATACCACAACCATAATGCTATTGCAACACTACCATACCACCCTAACACACTACCATACCGCTATAACACACTACCATGCCACCCTAACACACTACCATACCGCTATAACACACTACCATACCACCCTAACACACTACCATACCGCTATAACACACTACCATGCCACCCTAACACACTACCATGCCACCCTAACACACTACCATACCGCTATAACACACTACCATACCACCCTAACACACTACCATACCGCTATAAACACACTACCATGCCACCCTAACACACTACCATAACCGCTATAACACACTACCATGCCACCCTAACACACTACCATACCGCTATAACACACTACCATGCCACCCTAACACACTACCATACCGCTATAAACACACTACCATGCCACCCTAACACACTACCATACCGCTATAACACACTACCATGCCACCCTAACACACACTACCATACCGCTATAACACACTACCATACCACCCTAACACACTACCATACCGCTATAACACACTACCATGCCACCCTAACACACTACCATGCCACCCTAACACACTACCATACCGCTATAACACACTACCATGCCACCCTAACACACTACCATACCGCTATAACACACTACCATGCCACCCTAACACACTACCATACCGCTATAACACACTACCATGCCACCCTAACACATACCATACCGCTATAACACACTACCATGCCACCCTAACACACTACCATACCGCTATAACACACTACCATGCCACCCTAACACACTACCATACCGCTATAACACACTACCATGCCACCCTAACACATTACCATACCGCTATAAACACACTACCATGCCACCCTAACACATTACCAAACCGCTATAACACACTACCATGCCACCCTAACACACTACCATACCGCTATAACACACTACCATGCCACCCTAACACACTACCATACCGCTATAACACACTACCATGCCACCCTAACACATTACCATATCCGCTATAACACACTACCATGCCACCCTAACACATTACCATACCGCTATAACACACTACCATGCCACCCTAACACACTACCATACCGCTATAACACACTACCATGCCACCCTAACACATTACCAATAACCGCTAAACACACTACCATGCCACCCTAACACACTACCATACCGCTATAAACACACTACCATGCCACCCTAACACACTACCATACCGCTATAACACACTACCATGCCACCCTAACACATTACCATACCGCTATAACACACTACCATGCCACCCTAACACATTACCATACCGCTATAACACACTACCATGCCACCCTAACACACTACCATACCGCTATAACACACTACCATGCCACCCTAACACACTACCATACCGCTATAACACACTACCATGCCACCCTAACACATTACCATACCGCTATAACACACTACCATGCCACCCTAACACATTACCATACCGCTATAACACACTACCATGCCACCCTAACACACTACCATACCGCTATAACACACTACCATGCCACCCTAACACATTACTATACCGCTATAACACACTACCATACCACCGTAACACACTACCATACCACCCTAACACACTACCATACCGCTATAACACACTACCATGCCACCCTAACACACTACTATACCGCTATAACACACTACCATACCACCGTAACACACTACCATACCGCTATAACACACTACCATACCGCTATAACACACTACCATACCACCCTAACACACTACCATACCACTAAACATATACCAAAAAACCGCTATAACACACTACCATACCACCGTAACACACTACCATACCACCCTAACACACTACCATACCACTATAACATATTACCATACCAAAATAACACACTACCATACCACCCTAACACACTACCATAACATACTAACACATTACCATGACACTAACCTCCCCCCACACTCCTCCACCCCTCCCTTCAGTGATACGCTGAAGTACCATGGTAACTTGACAATCTCGCGCTCTGAAGCCAAGTACCTTGACTTATAATGGCTTCCGTTGGCACTCGATCTGGCACTCTATTTGACTCTCTGAATCTACTTGGCCTTCTGATACCCTACCTGGCTCTTTGGTATTCTACCTGACTCTCTGACACTCTACCTGGCCTGATAATACCCTACCTGACCCTCTGGCACTCTACCTGACCCCCTGACACTCTACCGGACCCTCTGACACTCTACCTGGACCACTCTGAACACTCTAACCTGACCCCCTGACACTCTACACGGACCCTCTGACACTCTACCTGACCCTCTGACACTCTACCTGACCCTCTGACACTCTACCGGACCCTCTGACACTCTACCGGACCCTCTGACACTCTACCTGACCCTCTGACACTCTACTTGACCCTCGGGCACTCTACCTGACCCTGACACTCTACCTGACCCTCTGACACTCTACCTGACCCTCTGACACTCTACCTGACCCTCTGACACTCTACCTGACCCTCTGACACTCTACCTGACCCTCTGACACTCTACCTGACCCTCTGACACTCTACCTGACCCTCTGGCACTCTACCTGACCCTCTGACACTCTACCTGACCCTCTGACACTCTACCTGACCCTCTGACACTCTACCTGACCCTCTGACACTCTACCTGACCCTCTGACACATCTATACCTGACCCTCTGACACTCTACCTGACCCTCTGACACTCTACCTGACCCTCTGACACTCTACCGGACCCTCTGACACTCTACCTGACCCTCTGACACTCTACCTGACCCTCTGGCACTCTACCTGACCCTCTGACACTCTACCTGACCCTCTGACACTCTACCTGACCCTCTGACACTCTACCTGACCCTCTGACACTCTACCTAGCCTCTTTCAGCATTGCTTCTTATGCTCTGTGGTCAAAATTTCGTTACGTTAGGCTTGGTGTACGTAGATGAATGTTAATTACCATACACAAGGTCACTGTTTAAGATTATTCCAAGGTCATTATTTACGATTTGAGGCTGTTAGAGGAATGTGTGTGTCATGCTGCCTTGTAAATACAGTGTTGAGGACTGTGTTGAGCGCTGAAGCATCTCATACTACGGTGACGTCTATTTTAAGATCTACTCAAATTTCTTATTTTACTTCTTTCCACCTTGATATTTTCTGAAGTAATCTGTGGAGCTAACATTGACCTTTAAGTATACGTCTCCGCTTGCACTCTCTCCCTCTAACTTTTATTGCTTTCATTATTATTATTATTATTATTATTACTATCATCATCATCAAGGCAGCTAGGATGCCACACATAACACTCAGGCACCTTGTTCAGTGCTCCGTTATGTCTAGACCTATCCAGGAATCGAACTCGCGACCTTTTTGGTTGTTCACCAAGTGCCTTGGCCACTGAATCATGACCCCTTGTGTGTGTGTGTGTGTGTGTGTGTGTGTGTGTGTGTGTGTGTGTGTGTGTGTGTGTGTGTGTGTGTGTAGTTACATACATTCACCATCGTTGCCAGCCAGTGGAACCGTCTTGTTAGTGTCGCAGTATTGACCGATGATCTTAACTGGTCGTTTAGTAAATGAATCAGCGCTGGTGTTTGTTATCGTCTCTGTGTTTAGTGTTCCTTACCTTGTAATCCTATTTTAATATTTTTGATCAAGAGTTCGTGTGGGATCGAAGTGGCAGTATTCTGGAGGACAAAATTTGAGTTGTTTCTCGACACTGCCGATGAAGTCGAGGGTGGTCACTGTCCTAGGGTGACATCACTGTCTTCTTGTCGCTCAGATCCGGTATGAGAGAGAGAGAGAGAGAGAGAGAGAGAGAGAGAGAGAGAGAGAGAGAGAGAGAGAGAGATACAGACAGAGATAAAACAGCAGGAGAGATGGGGGAAATCAGATAGTGTTCAGACGAGGATATTAGTGATAGCGAGAGAGAGAGAGCCACTCATTCTTATCTTTAATAAGAGCACACACACACACACACACACACACACACACACACACACACACACACACACACACACACACACACACACACACACACACACACACACCACCAGTCTTGCGCTACGCTGACACGCATCAGTACCACAATCACTGGCGACGGGGTTTTGGGTCTATCTCGCTGCCCAACAAACGTGAAAGTTGTTCTTGTAATACGACAAAGACAGTAAGTCTTCTCTTGTTCGTTGTTCACGCAGAAGTCATTTTACTAGTGGGATAACAAAAACAACTATAACAAACAACAACTAACAACAACACAACAACGATCACAAACAAAAACAGTAACAAACACACAACTAACAACAAACACAACAACTAACAATAACAAACACAACAATTAACAATAACAAACACAACAATTAACAATAACAAACACAACAACTAACAATAACAAACACAACAATTAACATAACAACACACAACTAACATAACAAACACACAATTAACAATAACAAACACAACAACTAACAATAACAAACACAAAAACTAACAATAACAAACACAACAATTAACAATAACAAACACACAATTAACAATAACAAACACACAATTAACAATAACAAACACACAATTAACAATAACAAACACAACAATTAACAATAACAAACACAACAACTAAAAAATAACAAACACAACAATTAACAATAACAAACACACAATTAACAAAAACATACAACAAACTAACAATAACAACACAACAACTAACAATAACAAACACAACAATTAACAATAACAAACACAACAATTAACAAAAACATACAACAACTAACAATAACAAACACACAAAACTAACAATAACAAAACACACAACTAACAATAACAAACACACAACAACTAACAATAACAAACACACAACAACTAACAATAACAAACACAACAATTAACAATAACAAACACAACAACTAACAATAACAAACACAACAATTAACAATAACAAACACACAATTAACAATAACAACACAACAACTAACCCAAAAACAAACACAACAATAACAATAACAAACACAACAATTAACAAACAACAAAACACAACAATTAACAATAACAAACACACAATTAACAATAACAAACACAACAATTAACAATAACAAACACACAATTAACAATAACAAACACAAAACTAACAATAACAAACACAACAATTAACAATAACAAACACAACAATTAACAATAACAAACACAACAATTAACAATAACAAACACAACAATTAACAATAACAAACACAACAACTAACAATAACAAACACAACAATTAACAATAACAAACACAACAATTAACAATAACAAACACAACAATTAACAATAACAAACACAACAACTAACAATAACAAACAAAACTAACAATACAAACAAACATAACAATAACAAACACAACAATTAACAATAACAAACACAAATAACAATAACAAACACAACAATTAACAATAACAAACACACAATTAACAATAAACAAACACAACAATAACAATAACAAACACAACAATTAACAATAACAAACACAACAACTTACAATAACAAACAACAACAATAACATAACAAACACAACAATTAACAATAACAAACACAACAATTAACAATAACAAACACAACAATTAACAATAACAAACACAACATAACAATAACAAAACACAACAATTAACAATAACAAAACAACAATAAATAAAAAAAAACAAATAACAAAACACAACAATTACAAAACAAAAAAACACAATAACAATAACAAACATCAACAACTAACAATAACAAAACACAACAATTAACAATAACAAACACAACAATAACAATTTAACAAACACAAAATAAACAATAACAAACACCAAAACTAACAATAACAAACACAACAATAACAATAACAAAACACAACAACTAACAATAACAAACACAACAAAAACAAAAACAAAACAACAATAAACAAAACAAAACACAACAACTAACAATAAACAAAAACAACAGTAACAAACAAAATAACAGTAACAAACAAACTAACAGTAACAAACACAACATAACAAAACAAACAAACAAACAACTAACAGTAACAAACACAAACAAATAACAAACTAACAAACACAACAACTAACAGTAAAACAAACACAACAATAACAATAACAAACACAACAACTAACAGTAAAAACAAACAACAGACAACTAACAATAACAGTAACACCAACAACTAACATAAAACAAAAAACAAAACAAACACAACAATAAAAAACAAAAACTAACAATAACAAACAAAACAAACAATAACAAACACAACAACTAACAAACAAACAACAACAAAAACAAAACAAAAACAAAACTAACAGTAACACAACAACAACTAAGTAACAAACACAACAACAGTAACAAAACAAACAACTAACAGTAACAAACACAACTAACAGTTACAAACAAAACTAACAGTAACAAACACAACGTAACAGTAACAAACACAACAACTAACAGTAACACGCAAAACTAACAGTAACAAAGAAAGCTAACAGTAACAATACACAACTAACAGCAACAAACAAACTAACAGAAAACACAACAACTAACAGTAACAAACAAACTAACAGTAACAAACAAAACTAACAGTAACAAACACAAACTAACAGTAACAAACAAAAACTAACAGTAAAAACACAACAACAGTAACAAACAAAACTAACAGTAACAAACAAAACTAACAGTAACAAACAAACAACTAAAGTAACAAACAAACAAACAGTAACAAACAAAACTAACAGTAACAAACACAACAACTAACAGTAACAAACACAACAACAGTAACAAATGCAAAAACTAACAGTAACAAACACAACAGCTAACAGTTACAAACAAAACTAACAGTAACAAACACAACTAACAGTAACAAACACAACAACTAACAGTAACAAACACAACTAACAGTAACAAACAACAACTAACAGTAACAAACACAATAAGTACCTTCATGCCGGTGATCTGCTCTTGATCCAAGGAACTATACTGATCACCTTCCTTGAATCAAACCCGATTCCCTCGCATTGACCAGATGCCACATGACTCCTGCGAGTTTAGCGCTTCCTTTGATGAAAGTAGCGTTGTTTTATACACTGTATATACTGTATGATTCAAGATTATAACAAACCCTGGTTAAGACAATAATTAGAGAGAGAGAGAGAGAGAGAGAGAGAGAGAGAGAGAGAGAGAGAGAGAGAGAGAGAGAGAGAGAGAGAGAGAGAGAGAGAGAGAGAGAGAGAGAGAGAGAGAGAGCATGTCATACTAACAACTCACGAGTAATTTCAAAACATATAAGTTACTGCTCACTTTAAGTAATTAAGAAGCCATTTGAAAGCATTAAGAATAAATCAGTGAGGAAGTAGGACCCAGCTGGCTGATTGTCTCCCTCTGACCACTGTCTGATTGTCTCCCTCTGACCACTGTCTGATTGTCTCCCTCTGACCACTCTCTGATTGTCTCCCTCTGACCACTCTCTGATTGTCTCCCTCTGACCACTCTCTGATTGTCTCCCTCTGACCACTGTCTGATTGTCTCCCTCTGACCACTGTCTGATTGTCTCCCTCTGACCACTGTCTGATTGTCTCCCTCTGACCACTCTCTGATTGTCTCCCTCTGACCACTCTCTGATTGTCTCCCTCTGACCACTCTCTGATTGTCTCCCTCTGACCACTCTCTGATTGTCTCCCTCTGACCACTCTCTAGTTGTCTCCCTCTGACCACTCTCTAGTTGTCTCCCTCTGACCACTCTCTAGTTGTCTCCCTCTGACCACTCTGATTGTCTCCCTCTGACCACTCTCTGATTGTCTCCCTCTGACCACTCTCTAGTTGTCTCCCTCTGACCACTCTCTAGTTGTCTCCCTCTGACCACTCTCTAGTTGTCTCCCTCTGACCACTCTGATTGTCTCCCTCTGACCACTCTCTGATTGTCTCCCTCTGACCACTCTCTGATTGCTCCTTGACACTCTCTGATTGCTCCTCTGACCACTCCTGATTGCCCTCCCTCTGACCACTCTCTGATTGTCTCCCTCTAAACCACTCTCTGATTGTCCCCTCTGACCACTCTCTGATTGCTCTCCCTCTGACCACTCTCAAATTTGCTCCTCCCTCTGACCACTCTCTAATTGCTCCCCCTCTGACCACTTCCTGATGCTCCCCTCTGACCACTCTCTGTTTGCTCTCCCTCTGACCACTCTCTAATTGCTCTCCCTCTGACCACTCTCTAATTGCTCTCCCCGACCACTCCTAATTGCTCTCCCTCTGACCAATCTCTGATTGCTCTCCCTCTGACCACTCTCTAATTGCTCTCCCTCTGACCACTCTCTAATTGCTCTCCCTCTGACCACTCTCAAATTTTGCTCTCCCTCTGACCACTCTCTGATTGCTCTCCCCCTGACCACTCTCTAATTGCTCTCCCTCTGACCCTCTATTTGCTCTCCCTCTGACCACTCTCTAATTGCTCTCCCTCTGACCACTCTCTAATTGCTCTCCCTCTGACCACTCTCTAATTGCTCTCCCTCTGACCACTCTCTGATTGCTCTCCCTCTGACCACTCTCTAATTGCTCTCCCTCTGACCACTCTCTAATTGCTCTCCCTCTGACCACTCTCTAATTGCTCTCCTTTTATCTTACTAATAAACAGTAGAAGGTAGAGCTGCGTACTGACACACCAACAACAACAACAGTAATTAGTGAAAGCTGAAGCAGAGGTAATAACAACAACGATTATCTTGATAATTTAATTATAAGACAACAACAATAATAATAATAATGATAATAAAAACAATAATAAACTAATAAAATAACAATAAATAAGAAGAAGAATAAAAGAAGATAACACCATAATTGTTAATATCTGTGTATATACGACAGATATAAATTATTAATTAATAATAAGCTGACTGGCTGATAACAGTAATGAAATTAGTTGTTTACACTCAGTATTTGCTGTAAATCTGTTTACACACTGTTTACGTTTCTTACACAAACTTATAAAGCAATTAACTGCTACTTAAACAATATAGTGATTTTTTCCAAACAAGTATTCCTCTTGTTTACACAAAATCAACGTCTGTTTACGTCTAAAAAATTGTTTGCAGCAAGTACGATGCTCTTTACAAATTAAGGATGTATATACACCGTGATGTGTACAGGTGGTGAGTCCACATTAATCCGTATTTTAGCGATTTAAAGTATTTTTGAGTTAGACGAGGTAGTGTGTAGTCGATCGGATTTAACCCTCATTAAACAAACTATATACATAAATTTTTTTGCCTTATTTGTATTGCCATCCGTCCCAAAGCGAATTTACTACAATCACGTTACTTTGTTCCTCTACGCCTGTGTTTATTAACTTCACATAAATGCCTACAAAATTACCACGTCCATTTATCTTTTATTTGCACTCACTCCATGTTATATATAAAAGATAATTTCTTTGGTTTCCCCTTTACAGTCCCTTGAAGTCAGCAGTGAGACATGTACTACCCGACGGAGGGACGGTATCCTGAAGAACCAAGTCCATACCCAGAGGACGTTCCGGACTCCTGGCCACACCATCCAACACTGCAAGACCAATACAGGTACGACCACCACAACTACTACACTCAAAGGTGGTCGTGGCGTTGTATAATTGATAGTATAAATTATACTACCATATAACTAACAACAATTTAACCATAATTTGTAAAGGGGCAAGGTAGTGGAAGGCCTCCGTCAGAAGACCAAAACCTGCAACTGTATGTCATTATATGACTAAGACCCACATCAGGAAACACTTGTCCTGTTTCCTGACGAACCTTACCTAACCTCACCTATCAACATAACACACGAAACAGCCTCTGCTGTAAATAATAATTTAAAAACAGGTTTTGTAATATTCATCTTCAGCAAAACATTGCTTACGGTAGAATCTGTGATGTGTGTGGTATTTGTCTCGAGGACAGTGAGACCAGAACTCAGAAAGATCGCGAGTTACAGTGTGTAGAATGTTGGTGTAGCAGTCTGTGTTGGTGGGTCATCAGTCAGGAATCAGTGCTGTGTTCACTAGGCTTTATCAGGTGATGGCTCCTTCAGTGTCCGGACACTGCAGTAACACACTCTACCTTCATCATGACTGCTCCTTCAGTGTCCGGACACTGCAGTAACACACTCTACCTTCATCATGACTGCTCCTTCAGTGTCCGGACACTGCAGTAACACACTCTACCTTCATCATGACTGCTCCTTCACCGTCCGGGCACTGCAGTAACACACTCTACCTTCATCATGACTGCTCCTTCACCGTCCGGACACTGCAGTAACACACTCTACCTTCATCATGATTGCTCCTTCAGTGTCCGGACACTGCAGTAACACTACCTTCATCATGACTGCTCCTTCAGTGTCCGGACACTGCAGTAACACAACCTTCCTGGCCGCCTGGACACCCACTACCAACCCTTCATTAAGTATCATAAAGTGAAACATAAGTATGTGTCTGTCACGTGTCTCATCACCTTAGGAATGTTAGTGTAAGGGCCACATGTGCATACTGCGTTCTTGTGCTCCGTAATGCTACTGCGTTCACTTGCGTAAGCCACTCCCTTACTGGTGCTCCGTCATGCTCTGCGTACTTGGTGCTCCGTAAAGCTACTTACGATGCGTTACTTGGGCTCCGTAATGCTACTGCGTTACTTGGTGCTCCGTAATGCTACTGCGTTACTTGGTCCTCCGTAATGCTACTGCGTTACTTGGTGTCCGTAATCTACTGCGTTACATTTGTGCTCCGTATGCTACTGCGTTACTTGGATGCTCCGTAAGCACATACGCGTTACTTGGTGCTCCGTTAATGCACTACTGCGTTAAAATGGTGCTCCGTAATGCTACTGCGTTACTTGGTGCTCCGTAATGCACTGCGTTACATGGTGCTCCCGTAATGCTACTGCGTTACTTGGTGTCTCCGGAATGCTAACTGCGTTACTTGGATGCTCCGTAATGCTACTGCGTTTACCTTAGTGCTCCGTAATGCTACCTGCGTCACTACTTGGTGCTCCGTAATGCTACTGCGTTACATGAGCCATCCGTTTAAAGCTACTGCGTTTATTGGTGCTCGCAAGCACTAGCGTTATTGGTGCTCCGTAATGCTACTGCGTTACTTGATGCCGTTGCTACTGCGACGGTGCTACTAAACTTTGCGTAACTTGGTGCTTTCCCTATATCTACTGCGTTTACTTGGTGCCCATGCCGTTAATGCTCTACTACTGCGTTACTTGGTGCTTCCGTAATGCTACTGCGTTACTTGGTGCTCCGTAATGCTACTGCGTTAATTGGTGCTCCGTAATGCTACTGCGTTACTTGGTGCTCCGTAATGCTACTGCGTTACTTGGTGCTCCGTAATGCTACTGCGTTACTTTGGTGCTCCGTAATGCTACTGCGTTACTTGATGCTCCGTAATGCTACTGCGTTACTTGGTGCTCCGTAATGCTACTGCGTTACTTGGTGCTCCGTAATGCTACTGCGTTACTTGGTGCTCCGTAATGCTACTGCGTTACTTGATGCTCCGTAATGCTACTGCGTTACTTGGTGCTCCGTAATGCTACTGCGTTACTTGGTGCTCCGTAATGCTACTGCGTTACTTGGTGCTCCGTAATGCTACTGCGTTACTTGGTGCTCCGTAATGCTACTGCGTTACTTGGTGCTCCGTAATGCTACTGCGTTACTTGGTGCTCCGTAATGCTACTGCGTTACTTGGTGCTCCGTAATGCTACTGCGTTACTTGGTGCTCCGTAATGCTACTGCGTTACTTGGTGCTCCGTAATGCTACTGCGTTACTTGGTGCTCCGTAATGCTACTGCGTTACTTGATGCTCCGTAATGCTACTGCGTTACTTGGTGCTCCGTAATGCTACTGCGTTACTTGGTGCTCCGTAATGCTACTGCGTTACCCTTGGTGCTCCGTAATGCTACTGCGTTACTTGGTGCTCCGTAATGCTATACTGCGTTACTTGGTGCTCCGTAATGACTACTACAGCGTTACTTGGTGGCTCCGTAATGCTACTGTGTTACTTGGTGCTCCGTAATGCTACTGCGTTACTTGGGGCTCCGTAATGCTACTCTGCGTTACTTGGTGCTCCGTAATACTACTGCGTTACTTGATGCTCCGTAATGCTACTGCGTTACTTGGTGCTCCGTAATACTACAGTGTTACTTGGTGCTCCGTAATGCTACTGCGTTACTTGGTGCTCCGTAATGCTACTACGTTACTTGATGCTCCGTAATGCTACTGCGTTACTTGGTGCTCCGTAATACTACAGTGTTACTTGGTGCTCCGTAATGCTACTGCGTTACTTGGTGCTCCGTAATGCTACTGCGTTACTTGGTGCTCCGTAATGCTACTGCGTTACTTGGTGCTCCGTAATCTACTGGGTTTCTTGGTGCTCCGTAATGCTACTGCGTTACTTGGTGCTCCGTAATGCTACTACGTTACTTGGTGTTCCGTAATGCTACTCAGTGTTACTTGGTGCTCCGTAATGCTACTCAGTGTTACTTGGTGTTCCGTAATGCTACTGCGTTACTTGGTGCTCCGTAATGCTACTGCGTTACTTGGTGCTCCGTAATGCTACTGCGTTACTTGGTGCTCCGTAATACTACTGCGTTACTTGGTGCTCCGTAATGCTACTGCGTTACTTGGTGCTCCGTAATGCTTCTGCGTTACTTGGTGCTCCGTAATGCTACTGCGTTACTTGGTGCTCCGTAATGCTACTGCGTTACTTGGTGGTGCTCCGTAATGCTTCTGCGTTACTTGGTGCTCCGTAATGCTACTGCGTTACTTGGTGCTCCGTAATGCTACTACTGCGTTACTTGGTGCTCCGTAATGCTTACTGCGTTACTTGATGCTCCGTAATGCTACTGCGTTACTTGGTGCTCCGTAATGCTACTGCGTTACTTGGTGCTCCGTAATACTACAGTGTTACTTGGTGCTCCGTAATGCTACTGCGTTACTTGGTGCTCCGTAATGCTACTAAGTTACTTGATGCTCCGTAATGCTACTGCGTTACTTGGTGCTCCGTAATACTACAGTGTTACTTGGTGCTCCGTAATGCTACTGCGTTACTTTGGCTCCGTAATGCTACTGCGTTACTTGATGCTCCGTAATGCTACTGCGTTACTTGGTGCTCCGTAATGCTACTGCGTTACTTGGTGCTCCGTAATGCTACTGCGTTACTTGGTGCTCCGTAATGCTACTGCGTTACTTGGTGCTCCGTAATGCCTACTGCGTTACTTGTGCTCCGTAAATGCTACTGCGTTACTTGGTGCTCCGTAATGCTACTGCGTTACTTGGTGCTCCGTAATGCTAACTGCGTTACTTGGTGCTCCGTAATACTACGGTTACTTGGTGCTCCGTAATGCTACTGCGTTACTTGGTGCTCCGTAATGCTACTACGTTACTTGATGCTCCGTAATGCTACTGCGTTACTTGGTGCTCCGTAATACTACAGTGTTACTTGGTGCTCCGTAATGCTACTCAGTGTTACTTGGTGCTCCGTAATGCTACTGCGTTACTTGATGTTCCGTAATGCTACTGCGTTACTTGGTGCTCCGTAATACTACAGTGTTACTTGGTGCTCCGTTAATGCTACCTCAGTGTATACTTTTGGTGCTCCGTAATGCTACTGCGTTACTTGGTGCTCCGTAATGCTACTGCGTTACTTGGTGCTCCGTAATCTACAGCGTTACTTGGTGCTCCGTAATGCTACTTGCGTTACTTGGTGCTCCGTAATGCTACTGCGTTACTTGATGCTCCGTAATGCTACTGCGTTACTTGGTGCTCCGTAATACTACAGTGTTACTTGGTGCTCCGTAATGCTACTCAGTGTTACTTGGTGTTCCGTAATGCTACAGCGTTACTTGGTGCTCCGTAATGCTACTGCGTTACTTGGTGCTCCGTAATACTACAGTGTTACTTGGTGCTCCGTAATGCTACTCAGTGTTACTTGGTGCTCCGTAATGCTACTGCGTTACTTGGTGCTCCGTAATGCTACTGCGTTACTTGGTGCTCCGTAATACTACTGCGTTACTTGGTGCTCCGTAATGCTACTGCGTTACTTGGTGCTCCGTAATGCTACTGTACTGGCGTATGCTACTGGTTTGGTGCTCCGTAATGCTTCTGCGTTTACTTGTGCTCCGTAATGCTACTGCGTTACTTGGTGCTCCGTTAATGACTGGGCCTAATGCTACTGCGTTACTTGGTGCTCCGTAATGCTACTGCGTTTTCTTGGTGCTCCGTAATGCTACTGCGTTACTTGGTGCTCCGTAATACTACAGTGTTACTTGGTGCTCCGTAATGCTACTGCGTTACTTGGTGCTCCGTAATGCTACTACGTTACTTGATGCTCCGTAATGCTACTGCGTTACTTGGTGCTCCGTAATTACCGTACTTGGCCTAAGCTGCGTTACTTGGTGCTCCGTAATGCTACTGCGTTACTTGGTGCTCCGTAATCTACTGTTACTTGGTGCTCCGTAATGCTACTGCGTTACTTGGTGCTCCGTAATACTACAGTGTTACTTGGTGCTCCGTAATGCTACTAGCGGTTACTTGGTGC